ACAACTGGAAAGATACCAAAGAAGCACTAACTTCAGCGTTTCAAGAGGTTCTGGGCCTGAAGAAGAATCATCATAAGGAATGGATCTCTATAGAAACACTGAACAAGATCAAAGAAAGGAAAAACAAAAAAACAGCAATTAACAACAGCCGAACACAAGCAGAGAAAGTCCAAGCACAAGCTGAATACATAGAAGCAAACAAACAAGTGAAAAGGAGCATTAGAGCCGACAAGAAGAAATACGTGGAAGAACTAGCAACGACGGCAGAAAAAGCTGCTAGAGAAGGAAATATGAAACAGCTTTACGATACGAGGATACTAACAGGGAAATATAGTAAACCAAAGATACCGGTCAAAGACAAAGAAGGCAGGCCAATCACTGAAATTCAACAACAGTGGGACAGATGGGTAGAGTACTTCGAGGAACTCCTGAATAGACCGGCTCCCATGAATCCACCGGACATCGAAGCAGCACACACAGATCTTCCTTTAGATGTCAATCCACCAACAAAGGAAGAAATCAGAATGGCCGTCAGACAAATCAAGAATGGGAAAGCAGCGGGGCCCGACAGTATACCAGCTGAAGCACTGAAGTCAGACATCGAAGTAACTACAAACATACTTTACCTTCTATTCAAGGAGATTTGGGAGGAGGAACAAGTGCCGATGGACCGGAAAGAAGGGCACCTAGTCAAGATTCCAAAGAAAGGAGATCTGAGCAAATGTGAAAACTACAAAGGCATTACATTACTGTCAATACCAGGGAAGGTCTTTAACAGAGTATTGCTGAACCGGATGAAAGATGCAGTAGATGCCAAACTTCGAGATCAACAAGCTGGATTTCGTAAAGATCGGTCATGCACAGAACAAGTTGCAACACTACGGATCATCGTCGAACAATCAGTTGAGTGGAACTCGTCACTGTACATCAAATTCATTGATTATAAAAAAGGCATTTGACAGTGTAGATGGGAGAACGTTATGGAAAATTCTTCGACACTACGGAGTTCCTGAGATTGTCAATATTATCCGGAACTCATACGATGGACTACAGTGCAAAGTAGTGCATGGAGGACAGCTGACAGACGCATTCCAGGTAAGGACCGGAGTCAGACAAGGCTGTTTATTCTCCCCCTTCCTCTTTCTTCTGGTGGTCGAATGGATTATGAGGACCTCGACATCTGACGGAAAACACGGAATACAATGGACAGCTCAGAATCAATTAGACGATTTGGACTTCGCAGATGACCTAGCCCTCCTATCGCATTCACACGAACAGATGCAGATAAAGACAGCCAGTGTAGCAGCAGTCTCTGCATCAGTAGTCTTCAACATACATAAGGGGAAAACCAAGGTCCTCAAATTCAAGGCGGAGAACAGTGATCCAATCACTCTTGATGACGAAACTCTGGAAGATGTAGAATCCTTCACATACCTGGGAAGCATCATCGATGACCAAGGACGCTCAGATGCGGACGTAAAGGTGAGGATTGGCAAAGCAAGGATAGCATTCCTACAGTTGAAGAACATATGGAACTCAAAACAACCGTCAACCAATATCAAAGTGAGAATCTTTAATACGAACGTCAAGACAGTCAGTTCTACTGTACGGAGCTGAAACTTGGAGAATCACTACAACCACCATCAAGAAGGTACAAGTATTTATAAATGGTTGTCTATGTAAGATACTCAACATCCGTTGGCCGGATACCATCAGCAATAGCCTTCTGTGGCAGAGAACAAACCAACTTCCAGCTGAAGAGGAAATAAGAAAAGACGATAGAAATGGATAAGTCATACATTACGGAAACCACCAAACTACATCACGAAGCAAGCGCTAACTTTGAATCCTGAGGGGAAGCGGAAAAGAGGAAGGCCAAAGAACACATTACGTCGGGAAATAGAAGCAGATATGAAAAGGATGAATAACAACTGGAAGGAGATTGAAGGGATTGTTTGGGACAGGGTTGGATGGAGAATGCTGGTGAGCGGCCTATGCTCCTTCACGAGGAGTAACAGGCGTATCTAAATAAGTAAGTAGAGATACAAATTGTTACTGTTTTAATGACACCGTCTGTTAAATAAGTTAATTGAAGGGGTTGATAAAATCAGACGTAAACAGAATTAATTGTAATGTGACATAATAATTCCCCCTACAAACAAAGATATATAAAAAATATCCGTGTTTGTAAAAACGATGTTAAACTGCATAGAATAACTATGATACACAGAAAATATTGAACTATACAAAGTTATCATGTACGATTAAGCTACTGTGTAAGCTAATATCTGTTGTGCATGTCTGGGCTTGCGTATATCTGTGAGGCCAGATAAAATAGTGATAAATTATCAAAAGGATATAGCATCATTTTAAAAGATTATACATATCACCAAGTTATTGGAATTACGTAAATTTGTAAATCGCTCACCATTCTCTCTCCTTAATTCAGTCTAATGTCATCCTATAATATCTTATTCAGTGTTGTCCATATTGATCTCGTCGTTCACACCTCCCATCAGGATGGTATGGTCTTTTCGTGGTCAGTTCTCTACGATAAACTTTAGTCTCTCATAAAACTGATTTGTATTGTCTTCACACTTACCACTGGTGGAAGCATAGCACTGGACTACATTCATTGTAATCTCCTCCATTGTTTTCAAGGATGCTGTGATGATGGATCTGTGGGATTTCTATCCTACGAATGCGTTTTTTGCTTGTTCGGAGAGTATGAGTGTCACTCTTTGTGTGTGGGGTATTTTCATATTCGTGGTGCAAATGTAATAACAGCTTTGTCGACTTTAGTCTTTCCTGTCCTGATTATGTCCGGTGGGCTTGACTTATTCCGGGTGCCAAATTATGTGTTCTAATATAAGGGGGTTTGAACTGTGCTATTTACTAAAAATGAAAATAAAAGGGGTGTAAATTTCTAATAATTAAGTGTTAATAATGCTAAATCAGAGAATATGTAAAATATCCAATGGTTTACATGACGATCAATGTGATTACATAGTAATGTAACACATGTTCCACCTGTGATTGTTTGACAGCGATTCTCTATCGAACTGGAAAATCTATTCATGATCGGGTTACCATTTTTTAAGAAGAATCTTGGTATCTAAATTTGTCTCAAATCGATCTCAGTTTTATCCTGTTCACATTGTATGTGGATTTCGACAGATCGTAACACTGCTGATAGTGACTGCTTCAAAGTTTCAATTATTATCAATATTTTCTTGAAATTAAAGTCTAAACCTTTCTTTTCCCTACATATGTCTAATATGTTACCTTAAATTTTAAGAAGCCGAGTTTATATAAAGATATGTTTTCAAGATACTTTCTTTTGGAAAAAATTGCTTATATTTGTTAACTTTCAACACATTTGAGTTTCTAGCTTCTCAAAATGAATGATTTTGTATCAATGGCTTGATATTCTTTGTCACGAAAGTGATCTGTAAACACTTAATAGGTTATCCTTCATCTTATTGACTTAAGGATTGTATATATATCTCACTATGTCTATAAACTATCAAGTTACCTAAATGCCAGCTTCTAAATATTCTCTGATATCAATATTTAACATTTCATGTACACAGTTCTCCAACTATTCCACTATATCCGAAGATGTGTTGTAACAGTCAATAATGAGTAGTCGATTTACTTTAACTGATGAATTATATCTCATAGCATAGATTGTGGTCGCCATTCAGTTCGGATTCATCAAAGTATATTCCGATTTTCATAACAAGTTATGATTTCATATGATGAAAAAATCGATGTGTTACCTAATTATGAGATTGATGAGGAGTTTTCAATATAATCATCTAACATCTATTATATATTTTAAGGTCTGATGATACGTGTCTTCGTTCTATTGAATACGATTTGTACTCAGCTGTATTTCTTTTTCGTTAAGTTATTGATACTTGAATAAAAAAACAACTTATAAGCGTGCTTTACCTTTCAGGTTAATTGTATCTATTCTGGTGATTAACGCGTTACCTAATGTGTGAATGTTAAAAATATTCTGTCCATGTCATAAATCCACAAATTGTTGGATATATGTATATCAGTAAACAGTAATTTGTGCTGGGTACATTACAATTTCCCAGCAAACACTATCACCATAACAGAAGTCCATCAGGCAATTATACTCATAAAAGCATTAATCATGTAGTTTAAAAACTAAGGTAGTTAAATGTATCTATGTTGTTCTCAGAAGATTATTGATCTAATGAGGTTCAAATAAGATAGATCCTAGAGGTAAACACAAATTTTTCAAAGATTTAATAATTATTCAAATATATTTTTATGTTCATTTATTGTTCACTGCTGAAATGAACTTCTAATCCTGCCTAAAGTAAAACGGTTCCTGTTACACATGCCGTTTACACCATTAATCATCTACTAATTTAAATTGTCAGTAAAGATTTAGTAGAAATAATCCTTTCTTAGAAGTATTCAACTTTCGTTTTGATTGTCCTGTATTTTCATAGTCTGACAGTAACATTATAATCTGATTACATTTGTATTTGAAAAGTGTACTTTACTTTACTCAACACATAGCCTAGCATTAAATAATAGTTGTTTGAGTTTCCCAATGAAATTACCTCAGTTGGTTCCTTTCAAAATCAACTAGGGACTTACATTAGGAAATGAATTAACCAAATAGTTTTATATCTTGACATCTAATATATTCCAAATGAATGAATTTAATCACGATTAAAGAATAAAACAAATTACATTTATGACTAATCGATAATGATTATGAGAATAAAGTATTGTTATATCTTCTAATTCCCCCCGTTCACAAATTCTGTAGAGAGATTTAGATTTATTAACCAATCAGATGACTTGAATAAAAATAACGGGATGTTGATTATCTTCAAGTCTAGTTTCCATGTTTATATATATATATATATCAGCAAAATTCATCAAAAGTCGTAATATCGAATCTGTTGCATTAAGGCTTTATTCAAATAAGATTTCTTGAAATACCTGAGATGCATATAATCTTTAAATGTCTATTTATTTCACAAATGATTAATTATTATTGTTTAAGTGATTCTGAATTAGCAAAAAAACAAAATTATTATTCTATGCCAAATATGTATGCGTTCTGTGAAGCTAATAAAATTTGTTACGAATTCGGACTATCGGTTGGTAAGCATTTGAAACTACCGGTATTTGAAGATTTACAGTATATTCTTAAAGATGCAAAACTTAAAACATTTTGGTTGGAATATAATGCATTATTTACACCACGTATGGCTGGTTTGATCAGATGGCGATATCATGATATATCGATAGAACTAGCTAATTTGGGAGCAATGAGATCTACAAATCTCCCATTATCTTACAATGATGAACGTTATTGCGTGATTCATAATAAAGAAGGTTTACCGGAAGGAGTTCAGTGTAATAGTGTTAATAATGTTATTTGTGTTGAATCAAATATACAACATGTCAATCAACTGATAGGCACTGATTTATCAATTTTATTGAAAAAATTCACCATTGAACAACGTGTTGATCCAAATTTTGTGTCAATCGATAGTCAAAGAGATGGCTGTTATGAACTGTTTACAAAGCATAGTACATACGATTGTGTTTTACAGTAGGTTTCAACTAATTTATTTGATATTTTAACATTATTCTTTTGTAATAAATATTAGCTTTTTGTCGTTCGTCATTACAATTTCTAAACCTTATTTACTTTAAAAGAATACCGATCAATGCATAATTTTGACAAAATGAATTTAAAACTGACAGTAAAGATAGTATGTTTTTGGTGGTGTTTTGTTCTCTGAGCTGGATGGTTTAGTCTCAAAGATAGTATGTGTTTAACGCATCGAAAAGACTATTCGTTATTATAACTCTGTATTTCCCTCTATCTTTTAGTAATATCCCTGTTTACACTAATACACTTCTAAAGATCATAATTATTTATTCAGTTTCATTAAATTACTTTCTACATTAGTGAAAATAGTGAAGTAATGATCAATCACAACTTCGGTTTGATCAATTAACCTGTCGGTCATAAGTCCAACAACTTATTTTATGAACTGTCTTCCATTTCATAAGTTTAAGTTTAAAAAATTAACCTTATAAATAGTGAAAAGTCAACAGAGCAATGATCATTGGATAATTATTTAATCTCAGTCAGTCAGTCAGTAACAACGTAGAACTTCGTACATACGTCCCTACATCAGTTCGAGTTGCCATACCACGTTAGCACACAGATACAATTGTTGATTCAAATCCTATAGTGGTAGAGGTAGTAAGAGTATAAGCAGTAATGGAAAACATTAGGGTTTGAAGATGTTAGTCAAGGAGTATAATCCAGTGAAATAAATTTGGAAAGAGAAAAAATGAGGGACATGAAGAATCCAGAAGATTAGAATTTGGGAGAACACAAAGAGTGGATGCACCTGCGGCATTTCAAACGATTCTGAGCCATGTCATTCGATGTTTCTAACCATCGGTTGCTATCATCTCGCGGATCCCAACCAGATAGTCTCTACCTACCAACATGACTCAGTTTTTGGTGGAGTTTTGTTCTCTGAGCTGGATGGTTTGGTCGTGAAGCTTTCATCGTTCTTCTGAACGACATCATCAGCACAAACTTCAGATAGACTTCTATCATCCACCTGAGCTACAAATCTTCTCCACCATCTCACATGACTCAGTCCACTTATCAGTGACTTCATGGATTTGTGCCACCTCTAGCTTTCTTCCAACCTACTCCTACACCATTGAACATCACACGTCGAGGCAGTCGGTGGTTGGGCATACGTAACACATGTCCCACCCATCTCAACTGATGAAGTTTCACTACTTCATCAATTGAAGTATTATTTAATCTAATTCATTAATAAACTTCAGTTTGTTTATAAATAATCAGGATAACATGATAATTTATTAACAATGTTTAATTTAAATTTTAGATGTGCTGAAACTGTAAATTGTGTATCAGGCTACTTTAATCAATTGCAAAACCAATGTATTATCATTTTATACCATCATAGTTTATTACCTCATCAATATTCGGATTCTGTATCTCATTGGTTAAGATTTATACTTAATTATTAAATGTAATTAAATGTTAATTATTTTGTCAATGAACAAATTGTGTTTGATAATTTCCCTATGTAACCGATATCATTATCATACATTATTGTATTTACTAAATGTTATTATCTAACAAGACTAGTGACAGATAAATAAAGTTATTGCTCTGAATGTTGTTTTATATTTGCATAAAAAAGTTTGCTTAGGGAGTTTAGATTCAATTACAAACTTACAGTAGTTGGAGAAATGTTTTAATTTATCGAAAAGATGACATGCTAGTATAGTGTTTTATCAAAAGTGTACTTCCTGAACTATGAATGAAATTGAGTCAACGTGTTCAGATCTCGATACAGATATAATGCATACAGATTATGAAGTTAAGATCCATTCTTTTAACTTGGGATGGCTCTTGATAAATGTTCTTTTTTCTGTAATTTGTGACATGTAATCGCCACTCAATAGTGTAATATACGCGATTCTACTGGTTATATTTGGAGACGGGAACAATTGTAATTCCCATGATGTGAAGTGAAAACAAAAAGATTGGTGCAATGAAGATATACTGACTCTTAATAAATATGATAATGTCAAATCAAATACAAATATTTATTTGCTGACTTCACACATACGTAATCACTAAATGGTAAACACCAAATAGATGGAAAGATAAACAAGGTTTCCGTCAAATACAGCCGAGGTTTACACAGAGTAATATAAAGAATATAGCTGTCACACCCGACGAAAGTTAACGCTTGTTATATTGAAGAAAACTCAGTCTTAGTGCAAGGCATATTGATGTGAAATATTGTCACACTGAAAAATATCATTTCACTGTCTTTTCCGTATGCAGGTAAGGTTTCCAGCTTTCGATTGGCCCGGCTTTGTCGAGATCTGGTCTTTTTATATGATGGCTATGTCTCATTCATGTGAGTTCACCCACTTCTACTTCATACGAAACTACTCCTATTTTTCTTCCTCCTGCCCGACATGCCCATTATGATCTGCAAGAGTGGAAATTTCACAGTTAAACTGCTTCACTTGGATGAAAAATTATGGTTCCGATGCAGCGTTTTTTACTGAACCACGGTTTATTAATTTTCATCCTATTTATCTTGGTATCAGACCACTAAGCATAATCCGACTTTTTCGTCTAAACATATTTTCTGCCAACGACAATCCGTTCACTTTGTTGAACTTAGTATTAAGCGGCAACTTAGCAGGATTATTCCTTCTACCACTCCTCCCCCTTCTCTTTTAGAATCATTCTTTTAAATGAATAAATAAAAAGCTCCCTCTAAGAATTAGATTGAAGTTGAAATGGAGGGAATCTAAAATTTTTGAAACCATTTTTCTCTGTAGAACTTTTCACACTTGACTGAGCTGATGGAATGTTCCTTCATTACAATTTATAGTAGTTCAAAACTGTTGGTCACTTCTAGTTTTTTTATTGTGTCGCTGATAGACACATTAGGGATTGAGAAGACTTCTGACCATTTTGTGATAATGCATCGACAATTTTTTGAGGCAGTTTAATGTGCGAATTGGAATGTCTTCCTTATTTGCGGAAATCACTACAAGTGGTTTATGGTCTGTGAACAATTCGAAATGTCGACGGTGGAGTACTCTATGGGACTTCACTTATGATTTACTGTTTCACCCCTGACTTGGATTGTAATCTTTATTGTTAACACTTCATATGTAACTGCTATTAGCTCATAAAAAGTGTTTTTGTGTATTCGTATCACGGCTCAGTTATTACTTTCAAACAACAACCAGTGGGATTTCGTGTTGACTTTGTCTCCCGTCTTCTGTTTGTGGTAGATTTGTCGAATGACTAGCTAGGTTAAATGTAGTTGCATATCTTAAATTCTCTTGGTAGTCTCACACAACAGGACTGTGAATTAGGCTAATTAACCAAAAGCCTATATTACCGTAGTATACTGAGGACCTACACCGTGTTTTAGGTAACATGATATTATAGTTGAATTCATGAGTCAACTAAAGCTAGACCACCATCGGGAATCTGTAAGCACTGGACGGTCGTTGCTTCCTAATATGGAACTCCTCAGCAGTGCTCATCCACGATTCCGCCCCGCGAGATTCGAACCCATGACCTATTAGTCTCGAGCGCGCACGCCTAACCTCTAGACCATTGAGACGGCATCCAACGGTGTTAATGTTTAGCTTCAACCAATCCACGAAATTGAGCTACCGTCCACCATTGTCGAAACGGTCGTCCAGTGCTTCCAGGTTTTCCATGGTGATGTAGCTTCAAGTAACTCATGAATTCAACTATAAAATTACTAAAATCTCCACAAAACCCCTTCTGATAATAACATGATTCTGATCAATGCTGCATAGATTTCATTGAATGTTTAAAAAAACAGATACATAGAAAGATATTCTGAGATAGCTTCAGGAAAATATGATCAATGAAAACTTTCGAGAGTATTTTTTTTCATTTTCAACTAAATGACATGAATTTTAATATATAATAATAGTCTGTTGATTAAGAACAAAGATTATCCGTTTCATATTGACTGATTATAGATCAGCCAGTGTATTGAATACAATCTTAAATTTAGCATACTAGTACATCCCTTAGAGAATTAAAGTAGCCTGATTGTATATGTTCAAGTAAAAGTCAAATGAAATATACATACAGATAACCTTGTTGACTATTGCTTTTTATATACTAAATATTGATAATATTAATTGTACTAGGCAAAACAAAACATGAGAATTCTGAGAAAAATATTTCAGGTGTTCATTTTCAACTGTAACCTCATGGTTACTCAGTCAATAAATTAAAAAAAAATATGTAGATAAATGTTCTTTTATAAAAAAACAAAAAAAAACAATAACAGTTCAGTATTTTGAATATTTTAATGTTTAATTAATATTCTAGTATGATGGGAACGAAAAGTAAAATTTGCTCATAGATAAAATAAATTCATATTCAGTATTAGTTTGGTAATATTGTGGTGTGTTCTACTTATATTGACATAAGTAGTATATGATGTTAGTCGTAAACAGAAGGTCTGGAATCAGAGAGACAAGAGGATCGAACAGTAAAGAATGGAAACAAAATGCAATTTATATGAAAATGCAAGAACAATGAAGTCTGAGTTATTTTGAGACAATCGATGGAAATTTTGCAAATTAAGCATTTACTTTTTGATTGTTAGATTTTATTAACATAATCCTGTAATTTTGTCTTAAATGCGTGTTCTGTTTACTACAATACAAATATTTTCAGTTTATAGTGAACTAGATAAAAATAAAGTAATAAGTCTTTATTATTATTACATAATGCTAATGGATTAGTGAGTTTTTATTTCATTCAATAGTTTACAGGTTCTAAGTTTGAACATGTTGACAAGAATTCAGATTTTATTCTATTTCTGAAAATTTATTGAGATTTTTTATAATACTAAGTTGACTATCACGAACATACATTACACTTGTAGTAGGCTTCGAGTCACGGTTGACTATGGTCACTACTACAGATCGACTACGTGCCAGTTACCAGGTTAGATCTCTCCGTAGGCCGAATATCAGAAGGTGGTTGAGATGTATTTGTTGGCTATCGTATGATATCGAAATAATACTGAGATGGTGCCAAAATCTACAAGCGAGACTACTGAGCGTATGAGAGTTTATGCAAGGTCACAAACAACTGAAGAGTGTTTTTTGGTATACTTAAGCAAACAGGTATAATAAAACAAGCGCTAGTACAGTTGGTTATAATAATAATAATTGTTTCCATTATACCAATCGCGTTCTCTTTATGAAAGTAGGTCACTACACACTCTTGTAGCTAAAAGTTCTTGGAAAGTAGCTTGTTCAGAGACGTAAGATAGGGACATATTGAGGGAGAGTAGAAGTAACAAGTTTTTAAATGGTTGTGAATTTAAAAAGTTACTATTTTTTAACTGTATCAGTAACTGGTGCCTTAAAATATACAGTGAAGTTAGTATTTATCATTGGTGCTAACTTTGCTGGTTTAAAAGGACTTATCCAGCTGAAGGAGCTTAATCAACTTATCACTTCTCAGTAGGTTTTCGAACTAGTTAGATAAATAGCTGAGTAGTTTCGAGTTAGTTTATGTCTGTGTGCTATCAAATACATCATTTTTTCCGACTGTTATGTTTTTCTTTTTTGTTACTATCTATGTAGTCAACTTGCTGTTCTTGAGTATAACGTGAACAAACAGTTGGTGTCAATCACGTCCGATTCTACCATTTATATGGTTTTTTATAAATTTGAAAGAACCAATGAATAAAACCACTCTTACCAAATATATTATGATAAATTTAATGCACTCGACAGTGGATAACGTGCACGATAAATGTACCTAAAACCGTATTTCTCTAGTTTCCTTTAAAAGCATATTTTACCAGTGAATAATTGATAAATTAATCAGTATCTGTTAAGTCTTTTCAGCCTATAAAAGGTCAAATGATGACCAGTCGATCACCAGATATTTTACAGTCCGAGCTGTAACAAATTTTAGACTCAATTGTAAATTGTCGGAAAAAACCCAGAGAGAACCATTTTGGAATACCATAGCGACAACTGTGGTATTCCGAATTGCAAACTCTGACAGCTAGATGATTGTACGAGACGATGGGTATTTAATTGAATTTTACCGAGAGCGACCAGGTAATGTAGTTGTAAGACTTTCAGTTAGCCAGGGGATAAGTCCTTTGTTGTTCTCTCAACCAACTAAAGGTGACCCAGTGTAGTCAAGAAGAACACAGAATAAATCCTAAGAGTTGGAAAGCTTTGATAAGAGAAAAATAAATATTCTGGTAATGAGGCCAACAGTATTATTAATAAGCAAATTAATTGGGTTGAATCAGTCATTATTAATAATAATAATAATAATGATAAATTTATTCAATACTATGTGTTCAATACAATATGGAATTCTTAGAACTTCATAATTCAATAAGTTTGTAGTGACTCACGTTTATCACGAGAACACGACTGGTTTAATAAAAACAATTATTATTATA